TGTGTGTTCTATACAGTCATAATATCACCCAGTTTGATGTAAGGAAAATTCTAAACCTTTGTAAAATTTTTAAAGAGCTAGTAAATCATATACTTATATTTGTATCATTTGCCCTTTTATTTATTTATTTATTTATTTTTCTGGGGTCTTTTGTAAATTTTATTTTATTATTTTTTTAATTTTTTATTGTTGGTTGTTCAAAACATTACAAATTTCTTGATATATCATATTTCACACTTTGATTCAAGTGGGTTATGAACTCCCATTTTTACCCCATATACAGATTGCAGAATCACATAAGTTACACATCCATTGATATACATATTGCCATACTAGTGTCTGTTGTGTTCTGCTGCCTTTCCTATCCTCTACTATCCCCCCTCCCCTCCCCTCCCTTCCCCTCTTCTCTCTCTACCCCGTCTACTGTCATTCATTTCTCCCCCTTGTATTATTTTTCCCTTTCCCCTCACTTCCTCTTGTATGTACTTTTGTATAACCCTGAGGGTCTCCTTCCATTTCCATGCAATTTCCCTTCTCTCTCCCTTTCCCTCCCACCTCTCATCACTGTTTAATGTTAATCTTCTTTTCATGCTCTTCATCCCTACTCTGTTCTCAGTTACTCTCCTTATATCAAAGAAGACATTTGGCATTTGTTTTTTAGGGATTGGCTAGCTTCACTTAGCATAATCTGCTCTAATGCCATCCATTTCCCTGCAAATTCTATGATTTTGTCATTTTTTTAATGCAGAGTAATACTCCATTGTGTATAAATGCCACATTTTTTTATCCATTCGTCTATTGAAGGGCATCTAGTTTGGTTCCACAGTCTTGCTATTGTGAATTGTGCTGCTATGAACATCGATGTAGCAGTGTCCCTGTAGCATGCTCTTTTTAGGTCTTTAGGGAATAGACCGAGAAGAGGAATAGCTGGGTCAAATGGTGGCTCCATTCCCAGCTTTCCAAGAAATCTCCATACTGCTTTCCAAATTGGCTGCACCAATTTGCAGTCCCACCAGCAATGCACAAGTGTACCCTTTTCCCCACATCCTCACCAGCACTTGTTGTTGTTTGACTTCATAATGGCTGCCAATCTTACTGGAGTGAGATGGTATCTTAGGGTGGTTTTGATTTGCATTTCTCTGACTGCTAGAGATGGTGAGCATTTTTTCATGTACTTGTTGATTGACTGTATGTCCTCCTCTGAGAAGTGTCTGTTCAGGTCCTTGGCCCATTTGTTGATTGGGTTGTTTGTTCTCTTATTGTCTAATTTTTTGAGTTCTTTGTATACTCTGGATATTAGGGCTCTAAGTGTGAGGAGTAAAGATTTGTTCCCAGGATGTACCTCTCTTATTGTTTCTTTTGGTGAGAAAAAACTTTTTAGTTTGAGTAAGTCCCATTTGTTGATTCTAGTTATTAACTCTTGTGCTATGGGTGTCCTATTGAGGAATTTGGATCCTGACCCCACAGTATGTAGATCGTAGCCAACTTTTTCTTCTATCAGACGCCGTGTCTCTGATTTGATATCAAGCTCCTTGATCCATTTTGAGTTAACTTTTGTGCATGGTGAGAGAAAGGGATTCAGTTTCATTTTGTTGCATATGGATTTCCAGTTTCCCAGCACCATTTGTTGAAGATGCTATCCTTCCTCCATTGCATGCTTTTAGCCCCTTTATGAAATATAAGGTAGTTGTAGTTTTGTGGATTGGTTTCTGTGTCCTCTATTCTGTACCATTGGTCCACCCGCCTGTTTTGGTACCAGTACCATGCTGTTTTTGTTACTATTGCTCTGTAGTATAGTTTGAAGTCTGGTATCGCTATACCGCCTGATTTACACTTCCTGCTTAGCATTGTTTTTGCTATTCTGGGTCTTTTATTTTTCATCACCCTTTAAAACCTCCTTCAATCTAGTAAGCTAAGCTTCTTTTTTTTTCCCAGAGCAGAATCCAAGATGATGTCCCCTGCTGTCATCTAGTACAAATTTCAGTTCTCTGATGTTTTGATTGTGCCCAGGTAGTTCAGGGTGAGTCTAGGCCTGGAGAAGGAATTACCCACTATTGATATCTGCCCAAAAAAGAAGGAAAAGAAGAACTTTGAGCAGTTAGAAGTTAGGTGGATCCAGGTGGATCCAGGTATGTTGACACAGGTCTGTAATTCCAGCTACTCAGGAGGCTGAGGAAGGAGGATCACAAGTTGGAGGCAGGCTTGATAACCTAGGAGTACTCTGTCTCAAAAATCACAAAGGTCTAGAGATGTAGCTCAGTGGTAGAGCACTCCCAGGTTCCTTCTCAGGCCCAAAAAATGATGAGATGAGTAGCAATGAGCTGAGAGAGCACAGATGTCAGCCTAGGTGTTCTCTGATTGTGGTTTCCCAAGACCACATTTATACATGTGTCATGTTTTTAGGTGTTTTAAAATATCCTCCTCATTGTGTCAAATACAGCACCTGGTTTAGGAATTTCATTGTGGAGTAGGGTGTGAGTTTGTAGGCATGCATTGTAAATCTCTTGACCTTCTGCTTAATTTTTCACTCAGCCTAAAACTACTCGAAACAATAAGGTCTGCTGAATGTATATATTTGATCTGTTGCCCAAAACTGCTGTCCCAATATTTTCAATGCACAAGACATCATGCTGTACATGTGCCAGTGCATACATGGAGTTCCTATTGTAAGATCAAACACTATCATGGATTCCTTGCAAACAGTTTTACTGAACTCAGGTATTGATTAATGTAATGCAGGGTGTGTCCTCTGAAATCAGCAATTATGCTGCTACTACCCTACAGTGTTGATCCCTTATGTCACAAAGCTTAGGAATGGCATGGAGAAACAATTCCTGTGACATGTGCTGATGTACTTGTGAGTACAAGTGATTCCTCTGGTAGCTGTCCTGATGTGGACCAGGACTATCTCCCTGACATAACTCACCATGGGACAGAACCTGCTGGATTATAGCTCCCTCAGAGCTTCTGCATTAATAAAATATCTCATAATTGACTTTGGTTTTTAGGACAATTATTTTTCAGGAAATGGAAATATGTTACAATGAAAGTTTTAAATATCATCAATTTAGAAAATAATAGGAATTTAGAAAAGCCAAACTAAACACAGAACTGGACTGTTAAACAAACAAACAAACAAACAAACCAGACAACATTTAAATGAGGCTGTCAGTTCCCTAGACTGACACTGACCACTCAGCCATTCTCAAGTCCCCTCTCCTTTCCTCATCAGAGAATGAATAAAGACAGATATTTACCTTCTGCAACATTGGGTTCTCCTAGTCAGTACCTGCCTCATTTCACAAAAACTCAAGAAGTTGCCCTGTGCTGACTTCATAACAGGGATTGTACATAATTCCTTATTTTACAAATTCACACAAACCTCATTCAACCTACTAGTTAAAGAAAAGCATTCAGTGTTCACAGTGGGAACTCTGGAGAGTGGTCAGTTCTGAGTTTTTCAGTTATCATTCCATAGTATCTCCCCATGTGAATTCCTCATGTACACCACAAATGTACACAAATTCAGTTGTCAGTCACCCCTCCATAAGCGGGGCTGAGACTGAACGCATGTTCCCCTACTGTTCGGTGAGGCTTGGCTCCTCACTCTGAGCTGTAGTCACACACTGAAGCTCCCCCATCCCTCAGAGCCAGGAATCCATTTCACGCCCAGCCCCCACACAGCTGTGTTGTGACATATTTAATGTCCGTTCCTCAGTGATGTCTCTCCTAGTGACATCAGTACAGCCTTTCTGCCTTCCACTAACCCAACAAGACTCATCATCAGAGCTCTGTCTTCTCTTGTATCCACCCTCAACTCCATTTTCTCAGTTGGTCCCCAGGGCCCCTGGGCCCCCCACAACCAAATGTCCAAGGTCAACTCTCAGCCTTCTCAACACCCAATTCAGGCTGCAAAGTGACTGCATCCAAGGCCATCATCCTCCACCTTCCTCCTGGGGCATAGCTCTTCATATTATTTCTCCCATGTGTGCCTGGTCCTCAATCAAGACACTTTCCCTGTTTCACGGGTGTCTTTTCTGTCATTCAATTACACCACATGGTTGTGGGAACTCATATTAGTCTTGAAATCTAGAAGTGTACATTTTTACATTTGTGTTTCCTTCCACTTTTAGCCTCATGGCCCCCTTAGCTCTTTACCCACCACCTTCCCCTGCTCTTTCATTGTTCTCTGTATAATTTGTCTCCTCCAAGGCCCATTTGCTCTGCATAGACTCACTTTTTTGTCACCCTCTGGGGCTGTTTTGGACAACTAATTAATGCAGTCCCTGTTCCCCCAGTTGTGTTCACAACTTCTCACCACGTGGAGCTATGAACACCTCAGAGGCTTTACATCCAGCAACCTGCAACTTTATTTTGTATTCTCTCCCCATCCCCAGAAGCATCTTCCTGTGTGACCTTGCACCCCATGTCTCTCTTACCTGGTTAACCCTATGTCCTTGTGTCCCTTGGCTTCTCAACCCAGGTGTGCCCACACCTAGGCATGTCCATGAGCATTTTCTGGATAGGTAATGAGTTTTGCCTTTTTTGCATCTACCATCTCTCTTTTGCACTCTCTCCTCCATATCACAGGAGCTCTATCATCTTGTTTCCCTGTCCACCCTTTCCTCATGTCCTTATTCTTTTAACCACTTCAGTCTCACTCCCATTTAGTGTCACTGCCCAAAACCCACCTGTGTTCACACCACAGGTTTTCATCTGGATGGTAAATCTCACAGCATTAGTTAAGGTGCCTCAGTGTATACATTATCCTTGCAGGGCTGGAGGGAGTACAGTAATGAAAGGGCTCCTCTGCTGTGGTCACCCCGCGGGGCTACTGAATTAATGTTAGAAGCCCTGGAATATCTGGTATTCACAGAAATCTTGGCTCAGACAAGTCAGAAAATCCTGTTGATGTCATTGTTGAAGGAGCCTTTTATTATATTCTGTTTGTTTAATGTATATTTCTCTGTTTCTCCCTCCTGTCAGTAGTGGAGGTCAGTATTGACAGGGCATATTTATTCACAAAATTATGATATGAATTAAGATTCAATGACATAAATGTATCTAATGAATTCACTCATCTTTTTGAGATGAATTTAGTGACTTCCAAGGTGAACTACTAGCATCACATTCTCTCTTTTCCTTGTACCTGTGTTAATATCTTTCTTATGTGTTTTCTCTCTTTCCATTTCTCTGCTTATACCTTCAATCTGGTGCCATTCATTGAAATGAAGAACAAGAAGCAACTAGATTTGGGGTAGAAATCTTCCCAGGGAAGGAAGAAATAATATGAGACATGCAAAGCTCACTGCCAGCCCTTCATATGACAGACCTCAGTATTTCCCAACCCCTACACGTGACACCCTGTTTGTCTCCCAGGATCATGGATAAATAAGAGTCTTTCCAAACACTAGAATATCCTCTGAAGACATGTTATGAATAAAGTTTAAAAGTGTTTTTCATAAGTGTCACCTGGAGAGAAAGTTTCCAGCAGTGTCCTCAGCTCCCCCAGCCTGCACAGCCATTGCTGCTGCTGGCACAGTGGTAATTGAAGGTCCCAGGGGAGGTGAGGTCACAGAGCCACAGACCCATATCTCAGGAGCTGGCCGCCTCCCTGCAGCATGCATCTTGGTCAGAGAGGCCTCTGCACTGAGGTCACCATCCTGGCAGAGAGGAAGAGCCTGGAGAGTGACTCAGGGTGAGTGTGAAAGCAGCATCTGTGAGAAGAGGCCCATGAAGAGTCTGGGTAAGTGATCACAGCCGAAAACGGGACACTCAGTTGAACCCTCCATAAGCCAGAGCCACACAAGTATTAAAATGGTTGACGAAGAATGGCTCCAGGTAGCAAAGATAAATGGGTCCTAGCCTAAATGCCAAACCACCATGGATCCTAATTTAACTAAATGTGATTCTTAGTGACAGGGATTGCTGTTGTTTAGCCCAAATGAAAATTAAATGTTATTTAATTTTATTTAATTTTCAAGGTGTACAAGGAGGTGGTTTTAAAGTCACCCAGCTGCTCAGTTTCCCTCACAGGAAGTCTACACTAAATCTTCATGATTTCTAGGTCCAGACTTATAGTATCTCCCTGTTTGTGTATGGAGTAGGAGGAGCTCACAGGAATCTTCTTAAGCCTGTGCAGAGAGAGAGAGCTGATGGTGACTGCTTGGGCAGAACATTTTCTCTGACTCTCACCATAGTGCAGACAACAGAGAGAGTAATTACCACTCCTGAAAGCCTAAGAATTCAAGGATAATGAGGGCAGTTCTCTATACTGTAGAAAGGAACATGTATGGAAAAGTGGACAAGATTATTACAGATTTATAATACTATCTTTAAGAGCTTTATATTTTTTTTCATGTCAGATATCTGCTGATTTTAGTGAATGCACCATATGGCATAAGAATCTGATAGTGGAGCAGGGTATGAATGTGCAGGGGACATAGGGAAGCTCTTCACTCTCTGTTCAGTAACATGTGAACCTACATTTTTTCTACTCAATAAATTTAGCTAAATATATGTATTCAAATGAATACAGAAATTCTAGTATTTGACTTTTAAAATCCTACACATACTTATTTTCATGGATGGCTCCTGTTGTAATATCATTCACTAATCTTACTTCTTTGAAATATTTTTTCTTAGGTATTAATTAGCCCATATTTGTATCATCTGAAGAAGGGAATATTTTGTTTCTACACTATTTCTCTTTAATTATGTGTTACTTTTTGGTATTCCAAGACTTTGGACATGGCCTGGAAATGTGGCAAAATTGCTGTGACAGGGGCCACTAAAGCATATTCCTAACATACAGCCATATGAGTTATGGGGTAGCTGTCCTGATGTGCAGCCAGCCCTGACTCACTGCAGGTGGCTCACCATGGGACAGGTGCCTGCAGAGCTAGAGTTCCCTCAATGCACCTGCAGGTATTAAAATATCTAAATGTTCCATCATAATTGACCTTGTACATAGAATAAATATTTACAAATAAATTAAAAATTTAAAATGAAAAGTTTAGAAATACTACTAGTTTGGAGATAATAAGAATATATAGAAATGGAAGTAAATATGAGCTGGATTAATAGAAGAACCTGCTCATTATTATTACAGAAGCTTGATGATACATGCTATTCTCTTTGTAAACACTCAGCCAGTATCAAGAGCCCTCTGTGCACCTGATCAGAGTATGAATCTGGACAGAGACTTAACATGTGTGTGCACGAGTTCTCCTGGTCATCTCAGCCCGTGCATTATGTCATGAAGATTCAGGAATCACCATGTGCTGCCTTCACAACAGGGATTTTTAACTTCAGCACTTAACTGGTCATATGAACCTCATTAAAACCTGCTAGTGAAAATAAAATCTTATGTAAGTTCTCAGGGTGGGAACTCTGGAGTGTGGGCAATATTGGATTTTGGTTGACAGGACACGTGAAGCCCAGGCTTCTTGTTCCCCTGCAGGACCCTCTGGCTGGGACAGCAGGGAACTGGCAGGATGGCAGCCAGTGATGTGGCTGTAGGCATGATCTTCCTGGCACAGACTGTGGTTGGAGCTCTGGGCAATTCCTCTCTTTTCCTCCATTACTTGGGCCTTTACCTCACTGGGTGCAGGATAAGACACACAGACTTGATTCTTCAGCACTTGATTGTGGCCAACTTGTTAGCACTCCTGTGTAGAGGAGTTCCCCAGACAGTCGCAGCTTTTGGAGTGAAAGGTTTCCTAAGTGATGTTGGATGCAAGCTGCTTTTCTATCTTCAGAGTGTGGGCAGGGGTGTGTCCATTGGCAGCACCTGCCTCCTGAGTGTCTTCCAGGCCATAAAGATTAGTCCTGAGAATTCCAGCTATTCAGAGCTTAAAGTGAAAGCTCCCAGATACTTTGGTCTCTCCATATACCTGAACTGGATTCTGTACCTGCTTGTAAATATTATGATTATTTTACAAATGACTCGAAAAAGGAGCACCTATAATATCACAAACATGAAAGATTTTGAATACTGTTCTGGTGTTCATCGTGACACAACATTACAATCACTGTATGCAGCATTGGTAACATTCCCTGATGTCCTGTGTGTGGGGCTCATGCTCTGGGCCAGCAGCTCCATGGTGCTCATCCTGCACAGGCACCAGCAGAGAATGCAGCATGTTCATAAGGCCAGCTCCCCCAGGCCCTCCCCTGAGTCCAGAGCCACCAAAACAATCCTCCTCCTGGTGAGCACCTTTGTCTCTTTTTACACCCTTTCCTGCATCTTTCAGATTTGTGTGATTATTATTTATAATCCCCACTGGCTGCTGGTAAAGATGGGTGCAATGGTTGCTGGGAGTTTCCCAGCTGTCAGCCCCTTTCTGCTCATGAGCAGGAACTCCACTGCATCCAGGCTCAGTCTCTCTTGGATAAGGATCAGAAAAAACCTTATGTCAGAGGGAACATCTAAATTATAGGCTTTTGCACAATTCTTACGTGTTTCTTCATTTGTACCCACAAATTAAAAGAATAGTGATAGTCATATCTCTAAGATGGATAATCAACACACATGTACTTTTTTATTATAGTGTGTGCATGTGTGTGTGTGTATGTGTACCTGAGTGAGTGCACATGTATACCACTTAGATTTGGATTTATTCTCCATCCGACAATATTTTGGGAAAAGTAAATGTAACAAATATAAATTTCAGACTTCATATACCAATTACAACAAGAACAAAATTCTTCATAAAATCTGCTTTCTTTATTTTCCTGCTATTTTGGTTTATTAAATTGTGAAAACAAATGACATGAATTTTTCTTTTATCTACATATTATGGTTATGTCTCAGCTGTGTCTTTTGAAGGAAATATCAAAGTGAACACTATCAAATGTTTGTCCTTTTGCCATGGAGTGAGACATATTTTATGTAATCTTGACATGATGGGAAGCAAAGGTCTACTAATGTCCTCTTTATTAGACAGTTTATATTGAATTTATTGATTTCTGTGCTGTGATTGTCACAATGCAATATTTCTTATTGTCATAAAATAATTAGAATTTAATCTTTATTTACTGTTTGCCTTGGTCTTTTAAAACATTGTGAACTAATAAATTTTATTTTACTACTTATTATTGAATTAGTGATATGTACCTTTGGAATGTTTGTATGTATGGGTTGGCATGCCTTTCTAATAAAATCTCACAAACTGAATGTATTTGTGCAAACAGCTGCTATATGGTAAAACAAAGCCCTAGTCTGTATGACTCCTCTTTCCTGTATGTGTCCCCAAGAGTGACCAGTATGTGACTTTTAACTGTAGAGATTGGTTTCAATGTTTTGCACTTAACATAAATGAAATTATTCAATATCAGCTGTTTTATATTTCACTTTGAAAATGCCATACACTTCGAATTTGTATTTTCCCATATTGATGTTAGAATCTAACTGAAGCAATTACAAAAAAAAATCTAGCATTTCTCCCTTGATGCACACATGCTGTAATTGGATGTGATTTATGTTTCCTACCCAAGTTCCATGTGTTGGAATTTTTGCCCCAGTGTTATGTTCTGGGTGGTGAAACCTTTGAGAAGTAGATGTAATACAAGGTGGTTAGTCATGGGAGGTCACCTTGGAGGGGATTAATGATGGATTATATTAGTTCCCATGAGAACATGGATTTTCCTACAGCAAGTGCTACTCTTTCCACTGTCTGTTGCTCCCTGTTCTGCTCTGTGGTCTCTTCTGTACATGCTTCTACCTTTGTGATTCCATATGCTGTGAGGCCCTCCCCAGAGCTGAGCAGATGCTGGCACCATGCTCCTGAATATCCAGAAATGTAGTTCAATAAATTTCCTTTCTTTATAAGGTGTTTGTGTAGGCATTTGGATATGCAGCAGAAACTGATCAGCACAACACATTGGAGCATCATGATCAGCACTGACATGTGGGATATGCAACATGTTTTCATGATACTTTCATGTGTTTCTTCACACACATGTATATATGTGTTCATATATTTGTTGCAAATAACTCACTCGCAGGTCAGCATTGGCAAGAAAGCAGAAGCAGAAGAAGCCAAAGCAGCAGAAGAAAAAAAGCCCCTTTACTGTTTACAGCAATCTTTTTATAGTATTGTGAACAAAGAAGGCAGCCTTCCAACAGCAATAAATCAGGTCTTTTAGCTAGTTAAACATAGAATACAGAAGTCTTACTTTCTAATCAGAAGTGACCCGCTTCTCATGGCTTAATCTACTCTTGGCCTGGAGAATACTGAGCTCTGCTCTTTGTTAAGAACAGATAAAATTTTTCTCAGCACCCTCCTAGCCCACTTGGCAGAACATCCCATTTGCTAGCAAGTCCTCCCAAGGACAGCAGACACCTCGTTTTCAAGCTGTCCACTGTTACCTTATCTAGACCTTGACAGAATATCCTGTTTGCAGGCAGACTCCATCAAGGACAATAAGAATTACATTTTCAAGCTAGCAGTCACATCTGATTCTCTACAATATTTATGTATAAGTATCCATAAATCACCCACATTTGTCTGATCATAGGATTACATCTAATTGTCTTTAGCATGTATTACCAGAGTTCACCAAATATTTCTATGAATCTCAACCCATTAAGTGCTCCTACATTTATTTTTATATTTTTTAAGAAGAAAATGCTTTTATTAATCTGAACATAAAAAACCCACAATCTTATTAGAATGAAACCTGGATAAATAATACTGTCTTGAAATTTACATTTTTCACATTCAGTTGAGAGGAAAATGTTACATGTGAGGACTCTTCTTGGTATAATGAACTAATTTCTATGGAACTTTAAAAATACTAAATAGCAATTGGCATGTGTTCTTAAACTGTGCTATGACAGAGTTAGAATCTCCTGATCAGAGGCAACAGGATAAGGTCTGATTTATTAAATGTCAAGAACTACATCTCTAATGAGACTGCTACCTCAGTGCACCATTTTTATTGATGTGTCCAGTGTTGGCTGTGGGTGCCAAATAATCAGCACATTTCTCAAAGGTAACAGATACTCAATGATCAAATGAGTTTTCTTCCAAATTCTTCATGCTTTCCAAGAAGAAACAAATACACTGCTCTTCTCTCCCCAGGGAGACAATTGTGAAATGCAGCTATTGTAAACATTCTAACTCACAATTAAATGTAGGCAATGAATTGTGATTAAGAATATCTCTAAGGTCATTTTGGCATGGAAAACACCAAGCTTCTACATAATTCTCCAAAGTAGCTTTCCATTTTTGAATACAACCAGATAAATAAAATACTTCATATGTATTTTAGCAACTCTTCTCTGTATGCTACACTTATCCTCAATAAGGGTTAAAGCTCTGTTCTCTAAGAATTTATACATATCAAGCTTTTTTGAAGAAGTTTGTTTTCACTGAACTGAAGATTTGCTTTGCTTATGTATCCATGAAGATTAGTTTGAGCATGTGCATACATACATGGCATACATACATATGTATAAGTGAGATATTTACTCCTAGAATAAAACCATACCTGAGGGAACAAGTGTGAGGTGAGGTTTGGTCTTCCTAGACATTCTGCTCTGTGTCAAGGAGGCAGATAGAGTGTGCTGCAGATGCCACAAGGCTGTGGAAGGGTCCTCATCTGTTAACTCCCATCACTGGTCTCCTCAACACAGCTGCACCTACATCTGCTTCCCCTGCAGCACTGGCCTCATCTGTCAGAAATGAGATGTGCTTGTTGGCACATCCAAGGTTTTTTACAATGCTCTGGATAACTCCTCCTCTGCACAGGTGTTCAGTCTTTTCTGTTCAATCAAGTGACCATCCAGATTATAAAAAAATACCTCCTTTTGTAGCTTGTGTGCCTTGCATACTCCTTGAAAGACACATGCACACCTTCCTTCCAGGTTCTCTCCACTTCCTGAATGCTGGGACTCCATCTTCATGCCCAGCCATAAAGGGCACCCTCCACAAGTGGTCCTATGTTTCTTTTAGCTTTACAATCATTTGGTCCAGTGATGTGTGTGGGCACACATTATCTACCAGGTAATTGGGTCACGTTTTATTGGTTACCTACCCCACTTTCAGATGGTGTAAAGATTGTAACAGCCTCATCCATGCGAGAAACTTTTCAGCCTATTTCCTGAGAATATTAACATCCTGCTGGTAGCCTCTTCTAATGTGTCTCAGACATCTTTAACTTCTTCATTGTTTAAGAAAATAAAATGTCTGGAAGGCCCTGGGAATCCCTGCTGTGTGGAGGGTGGAGCATGGTGCTGGCTGTGCCCCAGAACCACCTTGGGCTTCATGAGCTCTGCAACAAGCCCTTTTAGATCTCATTTCCTGCTTTGTGTAATCCTATGTGTGGTTGGTGAAGATTTCTCTGCTAATTTCTGTTTCTTTCTTTCTTTCTTTCTTTCTTTCTTTCTTTCTTTCTTTCTTTCTTTCTTTCTTTCTTTCTTTCTCTGAATATGAGATATTTCTTTACATTACCTGGATTCCTCTCTCTCCAGGCTCTGGAATACAAACTGCCCAAATATTATCAGAAGTGTGTCAGTTGTATGTTTATGCACAATTATCAACTACTTAATTGCTCATTTCACACAGCTTTCTAGGGAGAGGCAATGGTATTTCAGCTGGTTGCATGTGGGATTGCCCTGGGAATGGTGAAGGTGAGTAGGGTGAGTTGACCTCATCCTTGTGCACAGAATCCTGTAATGTCACTTTGGTTTTGGCTTTTATTTTTATTTATTTGTTTATTTTTGCTGTGCTGGAGATTGAGCTTGAGGCCTAGTGTATATGAAACAAGTTTTCTACCACTTATTTACATCCCAGCCTTCTTTATAAAACACTGTGTTTTCAGCAGGGTCTCACTAAGTTGCTCTGGCTGGCTTCAAACTTGCAATCCTCCTGTCCCAGAATCCTGAATACCTGGGATGACAGGTATTAACATCCTTGTCTGAATGCCTAGTCACATCAATCTTTATTAAATGTTGCTTGAAGCAAATAAAATAAACTTTGTCCTCATTTACTGCATTTGTTGAATCACTATTTTACTAAACTGTTCACTCACAGATACAGTTTCCAGCATAAACAGTGACGAAATGCGTCTTGACATTGTTCAACATTGATTGAGTTTCCTGTGTGTGCTCATGTCTCAAGGGTGAGGGCATGTGCTGTTTTTGCTACATCCTGTTCTCTCCTGGATGTTTAGACTAATTGAGAGCATTCAGTGACAGGGATTGTGTCAAATTTTGGGGAAGAATCCAGGTTTTGTTACTGTAGAGAGAAATAAGATGGAAATCAAAGAATAGTAAGAATTTTGGACATCAGTGAAAGAAGATATGCTCCAAAGTGTCCAGATCCTGGGCTGGGATTGTGGCTCAGTGATAGAGAGCTTCTCTAGGATGGGCTGGACCCAGGTTTGATCCTCAGCACCACATAAAAATAAAAGGCATTGTGTTGTGTCCATCTACACCTAAAAAAAAGTGCCCAGACCCTCAAGCTACATCAAGAGACCACTACAGGAGATCTAAAAACATCCCAAGTAAATAACTCTCCACCATGAATGCTGGTTGCCTGTATTCTGGGTTACACATGTATTTAAGTGCACCTTGCCCAGGAGCCCATGATAGAGGGCACTGTAGATTTGTCCCACTACAACAAACAGGCCACAGACAGAGGCCTTAGAGGGCTCCCTGCCTCATCCTCAGGTTGTGCTTGTGGACCTGTGAACCCTCCTGGGTGCTGTGTGTCCATGTACAAGCTTCAAGGAGAGAAGGGGTTGGGGTGCCTGTTCAATAAAGCTGCAGGTTTCAAATAAAGAAGAATGTAGCCCATCCCAGGTAGAGAGATGACCCCAGGAGACTGAAGTCAGGGGAGCCTGAAGGCTGGATGTGGAACTGGGAATCTTCCAGAGGGAAGAGTCTCTGAATCTCACACAGGGATAGGAAATAACATGCATAAGCCTGTTTCCCACTTCTATGACAAATCCCCAGAAACTCAGTTCACTGAAGAGAGTTTGACTTGTGGTTTTGGAAGATCACAAGTATGGCACCAACAGTAGCTCATTTCCTG